ATTGTCTTGAGCATGAGTACGCTGAAAAGAACACTACGAAAGAAACGTTTGAGCAGGAGAAAGGGCCACGCTGACATACTTGAAGTTGCTCTGCTTATTGAGGACAAAATTAACTCAAATGGAGGACAGTATGGGTATCGATGGATGCATCTTCATTGTCGTAATCACGGGCTGAATGTACCCCGTGATATCGTACAGAATTTAATGAAAATCATAGACCCTATTGGCGTGGAACTACGTTTAACACGAAGATTGAGAAGGCGTCAATATAACGGAAAAGGTCCAAATTTCTTATGGCATATTGACTCGTACGACAAACTAAAAAGGTATGGGCTCTGCGTCAATGGTTGCATCGACGGATTTTCAAGATGCATCATGTGGCTAAATGTGTTTACCACCAGCAGTGATCCCAAGGTGATCGCAGGCTACTACATTGAAACGCTTCGTTCAAAAGGAGGTTGTCCTGTCTTGGTAAGAGGCGACAGGGGAACAGAAAATACCAACGTTGCTCAGATGCAAGAATTTCTATCAGAAAAACAATCATTCATTTATGGCAGAAGTACGGCAAACCAAAGAATAGAAATGTTTTGGAACTTTTTGCGGAGACAATGTTGTCAGTTTTTGATGGATTCATTGAGTTTTCCTGACGATGAAGCACTTTTCGATGGATATTTCATTGATAAGAATCTAGTGCAGTTCTGTTTCCTTCATCTTCTTCAGGTTAGTTTTCTTTATATAACCCAAGGTCTCTGTTAGATGCAATACCATAATCGAGAACTGTAAAGGAAGAATATACCTTGTCATGACGTTATCCCTGCACATTGTATTTCAATGTATCTGTACATTTGAGAATTAAATGATACCATATAGAAATCTAAGATGTAAGGCCTGTCCACAGGTAAATTAGAGGGTACTCTACTCATGCTGGATCCCTGTGGTTAATGTCTTCATTTGTCATTTGTAACTATGCTTTATATATTATATATATATACATGTATATATTGTTTTGTTATTTTAGGCAGACCTTGACGAAATGACCAAACTGTGAAACGCGCATCAAATCAGACCAACTAGAAATCAAAACTGCCCCCATGGACGCCCATTAGTTATGTATTCACTTCCACATATGTACAACTCTACCAGCTACTTACAGAACATCGACGAACAGAAAATCGATATCTGTGCTGAGGAGTGTATCTTCCGAGAAAATGCAAAATGTGATGAAAATATCGATGAACTCTGCCGAATCTATATGGACGAAAGGGGCTGGCAATTGCCACAGGATATATCTGAAGGCGTTTTGCTATACAGGAATTTAAAAAATGCCTTTTACAACGATCTTGATTTGTTTTAGTAGAATCGAGATGGAAGAAATCATCATTGCATTGACTTGAAATATGACTTGAACATAAACATATATAGTCTTTCAAGTTTGTCAGATTGAAAATAATATAAATTAAAACAGAACATTCGTCTTCTTTATTGTGACTCCAATAAGTTTTATTGAAGCACACTTATTACATGTATTCACAACAACGTATCGAGCAATTTCAGTCTACAGGCTAAACACCTAACAAAAAAACTGAATTCCCTGACTCCTTTTACATTAAAAGTAATATCAAACATAGAGAGATATAATGGTAAATAAACGGCAAAAGAATCCGAGACAATAATGAATAAACTGTTTTTAAGAAAAAAATCTTTACACTAACTTTCAAGACATTCAACGGTCAAGAAAGGTTAAAGTGAATTGAATTTCTTTCCCAGAAAAAGTGCAAGTTTAACACAAGTATAACAATACTTTTCAGCCAGAATCTACTTGATTCCTCATTGGCACAAAAACTGACCACGATTACTAAAGTAAATTACTTTCGCGATTGTTTAAAAAGTGATGGTTACACTGGCTATATAAGTTCCACTGGGGTTGCTACAAAAACGTGTCGTTCTTCCGACATGGTCTGTGTTCGAGTAGTATTGTGGTACTATTTTACAAATATATCACTTGAAACTTGTCGGTCAATTTTGAAATAGTATCAACTGGTCACTAGTAGGCATCCTAATACATGTAAGTCTGATGCACATACATTTATATACATGTAGATGCATAAATGCGCAAACGGTGCAATTGTCTTTAGGGGGAAAAAAACCTATATTATATCCATTACCCAGATATTATGGCTCAACACGTTGTCGAACTCGAATCGAAAGTCCATGAAGCTTTCATACATTTTTGGAATCTTCAAAATACATCCACACGTATGAGCAATTGGTCGTCTTTCCATTCCGCGCGAATTCTGCATGTATTTTTTCCGTTGTCAGCAGGTTGGAGCCAGTACAAAACCTCAGGAATAAACCAAGTTTTTCCCTATCCATATCATTCACATATCTTTTTAAGTGTTTTGCTGTCTCTAATTTGAGGGTGTCCATTGCTTCTGAAAATTCCAACAAGACTACTTTCTTGTTTGTTGGCACGATCCTTGCATATAGGTTTTCCACCTTGCTCTTGTCCAGTCTGGCGTTGGTTAGTTCTTTTTCCATGCAGTTCCTGACGAATGTTGGTTTCTGTATGATCTGAGTATGTGCTATTTCAAGGAGGACGGATTTTATATTCTCTGCGTTTCGAAGAGTTTTGCAGTCATACATTTCATAAAATCATCTTTGTCAGATGGGGCGACGTAATTCAAAAAATCCTCAAGCAGATATGCGTTGTCAATCTCTTCATGAACAATGATGGAAAGTACGAACGATTTGGCTAGCTTTACAGGCCAATATCCCGTTGTACGGTACCAATATAACAAGATCCTCCCAATAGATTCCCATTCTGCCGCTCCAAGGTCATGTCTAAGCGCAGGAACTTGTAATGGTGATAACTTTTTCACAAATGTCAGGATCCTTGAAGTATCCAATAAGTTCTCGGAAAGAAAGAGATCCTCGATGAATATCCATAACAACATTTCCGGTCGTAGAGTAGTCCTGTACAGATTCAACGATGCGGTCTGTACCTGCTCTGGCCTCCACAGGTCCTACTTCGTCATGAGCTACATTTCCGGAAGACTCTTGGCGTTGACTGGTTGATAGATGGTCTCTCAACAGCAGGAATGCTGAATCAGACAAAACATTATCTTCAGAATTGTTAGCCACATCGTCCCTGTGGGCATTTCCAGTTACAGCAGAGACAACTGTAGTAGAGTTGGTCTCGTTCAAAGTTTCCCATGCCATATTAAATGAAACATCAGAGTCATGGTAATGTAGCCCACTGTCACCAAACGATGTGTCTTATGACACAGTCGTTTGGGCAGCTATATCCTGTAAACCGGATTCTAAAAGAGCGACGGTAAAAAGGTCTGGTAATGATGTCGTCGAGGAATGTTCGTCGGAGGAGTGGAGTGACGGCAATTGTTCCTGTGCTGATAAGTCTGGAATGGGCGAGAGATTATCCTTGACTTGTAAGGCTTTCGCAGTTATTGACAGTGAAAATCGCAACAAGGCATTCCTGGGTTTTTTTTTATACAGTTCTCCAATGGTCTCGTTCGCATTCCAGACTTCTTCCGAAAAGTCCCGGAGATCAAAATGAAAATCATCTACAGAACTCAACTTAGATTTTCCGTTCGGAAAAAAAAGCGAAGTTGCCAAATCAATGAGTTCTCCTTTTTTCATTGACTTGTCTACGTCAATTTTCCTGGTTCCACCACCGTTTTTAGTACGTACTTGTTTAAATACATTGTCTAAATTTAACAATCCGAGTTCTATTTTTCTTGTGTTTTTCTTAGCATTTGTATTTCCCGGTAAATGCTTAAAAGTTTTTTCTGTAAGGACATTAGAAGTGTGCGTTCTGTCTTCTGCCTGGGTCTTTTTTGGATGACTGCAGTAGTCTTTCACATCAATGCGTTCCCCAAGATGTGGGATATACAGCGCCAGGGTTTGGTCATCCATGACTGGAATAACAGTACGGTCAATCTACAAAATACAAACATGAATCACGTCAGATATTTATTCAGACAATAATCTCACATCTATACAATAATATGTTGATGTGTAGTAATTTGCCTACAATGCATTACTAGTAAATAACATTTAACACTGAAGTAGGAATATCGTTGAGTATGCACTTCTTTTCCCCCGAGATGTATTCCGCCTTTGCGTAACGCAGTTATCTTCTCTTGAGAACAGGTATTGATTGTTACGTCATTAGTTTGTGTGCGAAAATTACGTAATTTTCTCAAAAGTTGATGACGTTACTCTCACAAACCAATGACGTAACAATCAATACCTGTTATCAAGAGAAGATAACTCTGTATTACGCAAAGACGGAATAAAGGACGTTTGATGACTATTAGACGAGTCGAAAGATATTCTTTGACATCGTCAAACCGCACAACGGGCATACTGACAGCGTGTTTTGTAGTACCGCATCAGTTTAACATGGGTGTATGATAAACCAAAATATTATTTACTAACCTGTAGATTTAATAAAATAATATAATACAACAAGATAATTCAGCGAATTACCGTCCCCCCACCTAATGTTTCTTTGATGTAGGTTAGAGGTCAAAATGTAGGTCAGAGTGACCTATTTTTCAAACATAACATACTGCTTTACTACATTGTCTTGCATTGATGCATAAGAAGGCAAACGTGGTGTGAGAAAAATAATCATTCACCCTATTGGGAGTGAGACATGCATCTCAACCCTCGGGATAAGATTCTTTACTGCCAAACACTCGGCAATCTTCGTATTTTTCCACCTAAAGGATTTGTGCACCGAACAATGAAAAACTCTGTATCAGATAAAAAAAGAAGAAGGAGTTGTTAAACCCTAACCAGCACCCTTCCGCGTGATCTGATGACAGTGATGTGACACGACGTTTGGGTCATACGAGCTGACGTCTCTGACAAATTGCATTTATTTGATTCATTCAAAAAATTGATATTCTTAACACAGCCATGAGTGTAATATTCTGTCTGATTATCACACAACTCATACAGTCAAATGTCGTTCACTCGAACTCGGATAATTAGAAGACCCCGTTTAATGAAGTACGTACTTCTCTGGTTCTAGCCAATACTCTACGTCTCAGTATCACTTCACTTTGTCATTATAAATACACGTTTAAGAGTCAGACTTCATAAATGTTCATAAACTTTTATAAGGAACCAATCTCTATCGAGGTCATGACACTGTCACAGGTCCTGTGTCAACCGTACGGATACATGTACCTGCAAAACTGAAATCACAACCTTGGACTTGTACTCCAGAAAATGTTTTTTACATGAGCGCACATGGCTTTGATATAAATAAAGCAATCTTAGGAATAATTCAATTACTGAAAGTGGTGTGATCTTAGTGTTTTGCGGCTTCTTACGATGTTCAGTTTTATTGCGTTTAATACTCGATGCGTATAATTTTGTGTGAACTGTAGTTCTCACAAACAGTTTCAATTACGTGGATAATCCAATGCAGTGATTTTGTGTCGTAAAACATCTGAATCCCTAATTACATTGTATGTTGTTTTTTATTCTCTTTTTTATTGACTATTAATCTTCTCAGAAAATCAACGTCTTAAACGTCTTTGCTGTTAAACATCAAACACACAAACAGCCCGCAACTCGCGGAACTTGAATACTCGGATAACTCGAAGGTTTTAATCACGACGACTTCGAGATAACGAGGTTTGACTGTTTTATGAGAACATAAGTAACAACTCTCAAATGAATTTCCACTTTAGACAGGCAATTTTTGACATGCATGGTACTTTTTCTCTGTAGAGACAATTATGTGACGTTATTCATACACTATTTATTATGTCACAATTGTGTTATTGCACGTNGAATAACAACTCTCAAATGAATTTCCACTTTAGACAGGCAATTTTTGACATACATGGTACTTTTTCTCTGCAGAGACAATTGTGTGACGTCATTCATACACTTTTTTATGTCACAATTGTGTTATTACACGTGTCTTACGATATTTTATGACATAGCTGTATTACATGGTTAAACTGGCCAGTTATGTGATAAAGTTTATGTTCAGGCCATCGGCTACAGTCCTTCACTTAATTAGGAATGTGAT